TTCAATACGATTTTTGCAAACAAAATTAGTCTAGTAATTTTTCGTCGTTGCTTCGAAGCAGAGCACCTCGACTTTTTAAAGATTTTTTTATAAAAAAAAACCCTTCATATTTTGAGGCTATTCATAGGCTCTTAAAATATTATATGACTTTCCAAAAAAATTGCCAATTTTAAATATTTGTTGGAACAAAGCCAGCAGAGTGCCTTGGTTTATTAATTTCATTCTGAAAATACCTATGCCACTTTTTTAAGCTATTATTGGGCTCTTGAAACAATATAGAACTTTTCGAATAAAATGGTATTTTTTTAATACAACGTGCTTTGCTAGCTTCGAAATAATCCAGCAGATCACCTTGGTTTTGTAAAGCTTTTTTCTAAAGACAAGCACACCACATATTTAAACTGTTGAAATGTTATAAAACTTAAAAAATAAAGTGCTTTGTTGGGTCAAAGTCAGCAGGGCACCTCGGTTTATTTTTAACAAACTAATTTTGCAATTTTTTTATAAGTTTTCTATTTCCAGAGTCTGAAAATGGCCTAAAAATATGGCATAAGTAGTTGTTTGATAAAAATTAAAAAAAAATATATAAACCGAAGTGCTCTGCAAACAAGAAGATAAGACCATCGAGCTTATCCTCTACTTTTGTCTAACGCTCTCATTTATTAGAAGATTTGTGTTTTGGTGAGAATTGGCTAACACCTGCCAATATAAGAGAAACACCTCTTGGCGACGTTATTTACTACATTAAATCTGTAGGTTGGCTCACGAACTAGGAAGTGTCTATCATCTTAAGAGGATTAACAATGGGCCTAGTGAGGCCTAAGTGACGTAATGGGTAACCCACCCTCCACACGTTACAGATACAGATAACTATAGTACATAAACCTTAATATATTATTTGACAATATGTTTGACTTAGTCCAAACCTAAGCAGGTATGCTTGAAAGTCACTGTCACCGGTCATAATCTGCGTCAGAGAGAAGTTGGTCTGTCCCCATTTCGGCTCTATCCATGGTTTTATGTCTGTGATTAACATGTTTGTCCAATTTGCAGTTCCTTTAACAAACTTCCAAATTTGCTGCCACTACATGGATGTTGCCTGTATCTTGCTCCGTCTCTCTCTCTCTCTCTCTCTCTCTCTCTCTCTCTCTCTCTCTCTCTCTCTCTCTTTCTCTCTGCGATCTCGTAGGTGATAAGTTGACGATAACTTAGGGCTTCCTCATCCAGTATCCAGTACTTTCCATCTCGTGATCTTTTTAGAGGTGTGCCTTGTACTAAATGTTATATCTATATACGACTAACCGGCTTTTTTGTTTTTGAAAGTTGGGGCGTCTCCCTAGTTGTGAGCTATCAGGTCTCCCTCTGCCATCCATTCTGGTAGTATTTGACCCCTCTTGTCTTCAATTTTAGATTGCCATAGATGCAATTTTGCATTAAAATCTCCTTTAACTACTATTTTTTTCTTCTTTTTCTTTAGATCCTTCCTCAAGGATCGTAGAAAGTCCGTGAACGCTTCTAACTTGATATTTGGTAAGATATAACAGCCGTATATTACGACCTACTATGTTTCCATCTAGGCAAAACTTTCCCCTGCTCCTTCGTTAAGAATTTTTATAGTTCTGTTGCTTATTTTTGTGGCAACATCTACTCTTTTATCGGTTATCCAATTTTCTATTAAAGCTTTAATTTTCCTGGGTTCTGCTATAAGAATTATGTCCGCAATATTTTCATTTGCTATTTTATATGCCAGATCTATTGCATGTTTCCCCTATCTAGATTTTCCTGAATTATTTTTATAACTAAACACTCATAACACTTGCTCTTCTCTCCTTCTTCTGTGCCACTTACATTTTCTTATATTTCGGGCACTTCTGAAATTCCGCTTTGTGGCCAATGACATATATAGTTTATATTGACTGCTTATTCAAATGTATACAAGACGACGAAAAGCGGGTCAAATTGCAGTCGTCCATATTGTCTTGCCGAGTGCTCACCAGGCAGAGTAGGTCTGGCCCAAATGAGTTTAGAAACCCATAATTCATCAAAGTAGGAACTGAATTAAAAAAATTATTACCCGAATGTTTACTTCAAAACAGGAGGTATTTTGAAAAAGAATATATATTTGTTTGAGTCGTAAAGTCTAGTTCCATATTTCAAAACATTTTAAGAGGACTTAACAATTTTGAACATAGATTTAAACAATTTTACACATTTTGACACTATTTAGACATTTGATTATTGTTTTAAAATTTATTTCGCATTTTAAAAGCAGATATGCAATGGAAATAACTTTTTAAAGATTTTACTAAAAGTAAGTAGCTTTTTAGGATTCTGACGTTTATTCCCTTTGGACATTGGACAATTATTGATTATTTCAGCGGTGAATGTGAATGATTTGATGGATCAAAAATAAAACTCTAAAGGAATATTTCCGATACATAATAAGCTTCCACTAGTGGAAATCTGACTATCATAATAAAATCGACTGCAAAGCGCAATCTTATAGGCACGATCTTCAGAAATTGCAATTAATTTATAAATAAACAAAGTTATTATACATCGTTTATTGTTTATTGTTTATTGCGTTTGTTAGATCTCCTTTGAGCATGCTTGTCTATTTTGGTATCCTATTTAAACAAGATGAATTATATTGAAAATGTTCAGCGGCCGTTCTTTAAATATGATAGGAAGGATATTTGTTAAATGTGTTTTGTTTTCACTTTAGCTGTATTTTAAAAGTTGAATTTTAGTGAATACCTTAGTAATTGTATTTTAAGTGAGATATTTCTACAATACTTTATTGTAAAATGGCACTACACAATAGAAATTATTGTGTAATTGGTTGCAGTAGTAGACAAGTATTAGAAATAAAAAAATAAAAAAAAACGACTTCAATACGTGCAGATGCCATCACCGCATCTTAACCAAATTTATATGGGACCACGCCTGAAGTACCCCCTTACTAACAAAAAAGAATCATATAAATCGGACAAGGTGGTAAAGCATTATCGCTAAACATAAAAAATGAAGAGTTTGAGGATTTTCTCACAGACCCAATTATTATATTTTGACCAAATTTATATGGATCCACCCCTGAAGTACCCCCTTTCTAACAAAAAAAGAATTATTCAAATTGGACACCGTGTTGAAGAATTATCGCTGAACATACATTAAAAAAAAAAAAAATTGGCGACGAATTGAGAACCTCCTCCTTTTTTAAAGTCGGTTAAAAAGGGAAAAGAATTCTAATTTATCTTTTTAGAAATGTCTTTCAGTTGATAGAAGTATTGAAATTGAAATAACTTTGGAACTAAGGAAAAGGCACTTCAAAGAAAGGATTGGATAATTAAATTGAAAATGGAAAGGGCAGTTATTACTAGTAATAGGTATGCGAGTTTGCTCTCAACACTTAACAAAAGAAGATTTTATCCCTCCAGGTTTGTAATTTTTTTTAATAGTATTTTTATTAATATTAGTTATTTACTAATATTTTGACATTTCTAATATGAATTGTTTGATCTGCTAATTTATATTTTGTAGGTGTAAATAAGTAGAAAATGCTTGTGTCTACTGCAGTACCTAGTTTAAATTTACCTAAGCTAAAAGCTAAGGCATGAGAATAATAAAAAAAATGAAATTCAGCAAAAGTAAGAGTTATGGCTACTGTCAATAATAATGATGTTACTAGTATGTACTAGTAAAATGTTAAGTAATGGTAAAGTGTTGAGTTATCTTCTTCAGGCAATGAATGTACTGTACATAAATAATTTAAAATGTTTGGATAATTATTTAATGTTTAATGTGTTTTTGTAGTTAACATACTACTGAAGCAGATAATAAAGATATGTGTGCTGCTGAAGAGCTTTGCATAATTAACAAATAATTAAAAAAACTTAAAACAGAACATAAGTATAATTAAAACTCAATAAAATAAACAATTCAACAAAATGTTCGATTGAGCAATAAAAATGAGAACCAAATCTCAACTAGACTAAACTTTCTTCTAAACTAGTTCTGTAAAAGGTTTGCTTACTAGTGAGCACTCACAATTGAGACAAAACACATACATTGCATGTACTAGACAAAGAGAAAACATCTCCCAGTTCGACCCGCTTTTCATCGTTTTATTAACGTATGGATGAGCAGTCTATATAAACTATATATGTCATTGTTTCTGGTTCTCAGTTTTGCACAGATAACATTTTTGTATTCCTTGACAGTCTTTTTTCACGTGTCCCAGCTCATCACATTTATATAATTTTGGTTCTCCTTTTTTTTTGGTGCAGTATTTTATTACGTGCCCTATTTTGCGAGGCCTGTAGCTTTTGTAATATTATTTATTTTCCTGATCCATCCCTTTTCTATCCTTTTTCTGTCATTATCGAGCTTGACCATTTTTTCCCTAATTGTAATAAAAGCGTATTTAAGCCCTCTATCGTTAATTTTATCATATATTTTAATTTGTATATCATCTAGACTTTCAGTATTCATTTCCTTTTTAAGCACCTCTTACACCTCCTCTTCCGTGACTGTCTCGTCTATGTCTAAAATCATGTACGTTTGAGTTTTCTGTTTTATTTGCACCTTTGCCATATCCCCTAAATTTTCAGATAGTGTTTTCCTAAATTGTAATTTGGTCTTTTATTCATTCCTTTTATTTTGATCTGTACATTGCCATCGTCTGTTTTATTGATTTTGTCGATCATTATTCCTTTTGTACCCACTTTTTCTTTCATATTTATAATATTAATAAGTTGTGCACATGGTGTTCCCTCTACAGGCATCAGGATAATAATATCTTTATTTTTTCTTTTTCTAACATCCTCTCATCTTGTATTTTTCGCTTTATCTTTATACAGGACCACGTCTACATTCTATTTTCTGCCTACATATTCCAAGCTTCTTCTCGTGCTTATATAATCCACTTGTTTCATTGTCATGCATGTTATTTTATTGCTACCGTTATTTCTAGTCCTGTCCACTAATTTCTTTAGATTTACCCTGCGACTATTCTTTCCTGTCCTTGTTTTGCCACTCTCGTTGCCGTGGTGTACGTGTATCTCTCCTTGCTTCAGCATCATTTCGCTAATATTTTTTACTCCGACCATTTTTCCATCTTCTAGGTTTTCTTGCTGTGTGATTTTAGCGATTCGTTGGTTTCTTTTAGTAGTCATTTTGGAGTCTCGTCGATATTATTCTCTTCTCCTTTCATAATTATTATGATTTCGCTTTCTTCTCCTATCAGCCCAATTGTTTTGCTTACTTTACATCTTTGACATATTTCCTCTAGCCATAGCCGCTTCATCAGTTTTTCTACTTCCTTTTATTTCAGCTTTCTTTAAATCCTCCTCTATCAGTTCAATTATTTCCTGGTTCATATTGGTTGCTTGTTTGTTTAGACATTTGTGTTGCAGCGTCTTTCTGTGGTCTCCCTTTAGGTTTTTTTATGTTTTTCTGATTTGTTTTTGTCCTTAGTTTATCTAGTATATCTACCATCACACCTATTGCTTGGGACATTCTATTCACAAATCCATCTAGCTTCTTAGTTTTTGATACCTCTTTAATGATACTTTTGACCTTTTCAAGTTCTTCCTCCATTTCCCTTGCTTCGTTGAGTATGATATACTCTTGTTCCGCATTTTGAACGAATTCTGCCATCGCACTTATTTTTTCTGGGGTAATTTCTCTTTTCTTTTTTTCTCTTAGTTCCTTATTCCCCTTCATCATTGGCTTACTATCAATGAATGAGTACCCATGAAGCGTACTCCATATCTCTCACATCTCGAATATTACTGGTGTTTGTGATCTTATCGGGGAATGTTCTATTTTACTTGCCTTTTTGGATGGTTCAGGTAATATTTTTTGACTTCTCAGTTTCGTCTATGCATCTTCTTTTTCTGGCAGCTTGCTATTCTCTCCACTGTTTTCGGTTCCAGTACTGGTATCGTGCATCTCAGCATGTTTTCCTTCTGAAATTGGTTCAGTTGTCCCGTCATCGTTGCTATTATTTAATTCTGTATCCATTTGTTACTACGAGTTGGGCCGAAATATTCGGTCGAGCCCGGCAGTGCGCCCATACTGAGCCAAGGCATTGCTTGCGCCTATATCCCGCACACCCTAGCCATGATGCCGAAGGACCGTTTGCGACCTCACTTCCTCGGAATCACGTAGTACATCGTCAAGATCTACAACTTCACTTAGCGGATTTTTTACAGGGTTTACTCCGTGATAACGATTTTGGCTCGCGCCGACTATCGGTACCACCCATATCTGAAAAGCATTCCCCAGTCTGTCACTTGGGAATGCGCTGGATGGGAGATTGGCAACTCCACGACAGTTAGTGCAAGATTAGAAGATATTTAAATAAAAGAACACATATCCGAAAATGTCTCCGTAAGGCGCTGCGATACTATGATGCTTTAAATCAGTTATGTAAAAAAATATGTTGATCGAGCGTTAAGGCATTGTTTTTATTTATTTTTGTACATATTAACAGTATGTTAGTATCGTTAATCTTCTTCAGAATAAGTTATTTTAAATTGCTCTTATTTTTCTTCTGAATTAGAATTACATAATGGTTCGACTTTTGGTGCCTGCATATACCCCGAGGTTATATTACAATAAAATAGTTTAAGCTTGAACACGCGTCATGCGTCATGTTCTGTATTTTCAAACGGTTTAATACGGTACGTTAAAGTCGACATTTTTCTGACACTAATTTTTTCAATATATTAATTTAAACCCTTCTTTTGCATCAATCACGCTCTGTCACCATTTGTTGAATTTGATTGGTAAATAAGTAAAATTAATACAGTTAAAATATAGTTTATTAAATATTAAAAATATTAAAAATTCCACTGACAAGTATATTGTAAATTTTAAATTGTATCCACATTTTTTATTTAAATAATTTTTCATGCAAGCATGGACGCTCAAATATTAAAATATAATTTACAAAAAATCTAAGACCTTACTGATGTTAATTAAATGATGTATTATTTGACGTTCACGTTATTAAGTCAGATCATACTCTCAAGCTCTGACAATAACAATATATTTTGACAGAGCTTGAGATTCTGATCTAACCTAATGACATTAACGTCTAATGAACATTAGGTATTGTGAGTTTAACAAGCCTTATTGCAACCGAGGGGAGACTATTATTTTTCATTTAGGGCCTAAGGCAATAACAGTTTTACGGTTTCCGAAAAAAATAGATTTTCAATTTGAATCATAAACATAACTTCCTTATTTGTACTTTTGTACATAGGTAAGTAAGGTTCAATCGACCTATTTTTGAAACCATCGAAATATATGGTATAATGTATTTTGTACAACCTATTGCAGCACCTCTATAAATGTTTAGAAGATAAACTAAATACATACATTTTCCACATACATACAGTGAGCACCATAAGTCTTACCCCCCTATCTAACTCGTTACTGGAGTCTTGTTAGGAAAATCGCCGAGACAGGTCGATTTTTGATTTTTACAGTGTACATTTTTGTATGAATAGTTTACCCTTAATTTCATCCCTTACTGGAGGGGAGTAACCCTTTCGAAAAATTTAAATAGCATGGGGTGGTGAGTGATAGCTCATTTGAAAGAGGGTTTTATTCAACCGTGTAAAAAATTTTTAAATTTGCTTCATTAATTCTCGACTAATTGTTGTTTCAGAATAACGGAAATTAACGTAGCGCACTCATCCTTAGAATTAAAATTTGGCCCTGCATGACTTCGGTTTTGGTTCAGACGTAAAGTAAGACTTTTTGCCATTAGAAGGTCACTGTTAGTCTAGTTGCTTTCCTATTTTGTGAGGTTTTGTTATTTTTAAACATTAATAAATCAACATGTAATGATGCAAATTTCAAATTTTTTTGCACGGTTGAATAGATAATAAAACCTTCTTTCAAATGAGCTATCACTCACCACCCCATACCATTTAAATTTTTCGAAAGGGTTTGTACCCTCCAGTAAGGGATGACATTAAGGGTTAACTAATCATGCAAAAATGTACATTGTAGAAATTTAAAATCGACCTGTCTCGGCGATTTTCCTAACAAGACCCCAGTAACGAGTTAGTTAGGGGGGGTAAGACTTAAGATGCTCACTGTATAACTCGAAACATTTTTCATAGATATTCATTGAAAACGAAAATGCTGAAAAAGTTTACTAATTTTTTTAAAAATCAGAATTTTGCACATTTTGTCAGGAAAATTTGACAAAAAACAAAAATTATAGATAATATAATTAGAAGTAACTTTTATTTGAATAATTTTGTTCTCCAAACATAAATAACAGATATATTCATAAAATATAACAACGACCTCTTTTAAAGTACACCCAGATGTTCCGACTTTGTCCAAAGTCTAATAATTTCACCTCAGACCGAAATAAAATTGAAGTTTAAAATTTAATGTTTTTTCCTTTATCCGTTTTTGAGTTTTCTTCAAAATTCGTAATTTACACATTTTCTTAAATATCTCGAATGCGGTTCATTTTACAGAAATTATGTATAAAATAAAAATTACAGAAATTATGCATAAAATAAAAATTACAAACAACTTTTATTTGAACAATTTTTATAAAAAAATATATTTTTTTTAATTTTGTCAAATTTCTCGGATACCGATCATTTTCGGAAAGTTTTGTATAGAACAAAAATTATAGATAATATTATAAGTAACTTTTATTTGAAGATTTTTTTTCCAAATGTAAATAACAGATATATTCCATAAAATATAAAAACGGCCTCCCATAAATTACCCCTCCAGATGTTCTGACTGTGTCCAAAATCTAATCATTTTACGTCAGGCTGAAAAAAAAACTTAGGTTTAAAATTTATTGTTTTTTCCTTTATCCGTTTTTGAGTTTTCTTAAAAATTCGTAATTTAGACATTTTCTCAAATATCTCGAATGCGGTCTATTTTAGAATTTTTTTTTATGAAACAAGAATTATAGATAATAATATTTTTAGTAAATTTTATTTGAAAAATGTTCTTCTCCAAACGTAAATAACAGATATATTCTATAAAATATAAAAAAAATTACTACCTATCAAGTAGCCCCCCAGATGTTCCGACTCTGCCCAAAATCTAATCAGTTTATTGAAGGCCGGAATAAAGCTGGTTTTCTTTGTATCCATTCTAGAAGTTATCAAGGATACAGACACACACACACACACACACACACACACACACTCGGCTTGTGCCTCGTGCGACAATATTTCCCACTCGTGTAAAAAATTTCACTTTCCACACTCGTAATGTAGTACACTATTTTTATTCATAAATAAATATATTATTAATAAATCTGATAATTGTGTGCAATGGCTGGTAAAAATATAATAATTCTATTACTACGGTTAAAATTAAATGTATTGCTTTATTAGAAACTGTTTCCCCTGTGCTAATCATTTATTATTATAAAATGTAAAATTTTGCGCTTGTATGGCCGGCACCTGAACCGCCGCGCCCAGTCATCTCCGAGCCCGTACGGCGGCGCCCGAAAGGCCGCGCCCGAACGGCAGCGCCCGAACGGTCGCGCTCGATTGTCCGACTCCGGATGTGCTACCTACTTTCGCATTTGAGTCAAATTCATGCTGATCTAGCCATGGGACTGTATTTTGATTTGAATGTGACATATATTTTGCCTCATTATTTATCTAATTTCATAGAGGATTTAGAATAACACTTTACAATTTACAATTTAGAAGCCACTGTTTATTAAAATAGTACTCTTGCTTAGGAAATTATAGAGTAGAAATACTAGAAACTCTACAATTTTTTGGTTTGTAAAAAATACCATCGCCAATATCCCCACAAAGGTTCTAAGTATTATATAAATTCTAAGCCTATGTAAATTAAAATAAATTTGAGTACAAAAGGTTAAAAATACATTTTATGAAATTGTTTTTTTAATTATCTAATATTTAATAATTTGATACTGGATATGCCAGTTACGGTTAACTTTGTAAGAAAATTTCGATTTATATAATGATATATAAACATAATTTTTATGTTCTTTAGATTTTCACATACTTTTTATTATAATTATTTACTCGAAATAGTTTTGCGAGAATACAATAGATAATAATAAACATATCAT